GATTCCGATGAAAAGGTGCTAAGCTTTCGTCCGTCATATGACGGACTTTTTAGAGTTTTGCCGATGAGTTTTCTTGACTTTTTAGCTTGAATTTTGTTGTCACGATGATACCTCGCTCTGATGATGTCCGTCATATGAAGGACGAAAGCTTAACACCTTTTCACCAGAGTCGAACGAGATTGCCTCAGAAACAGAGTCAGCATGAATGTTCCAGTAAAGCCAATCGACAGCTGGTCAAGTGGAATCCGCCATCGTCTTCTGGTGGAACCGACCTTCAAATCTCTTCACCCAACACTTCCACTCGAAATGGAAGTAAGCTCAACAATTAGACACATTAACCCCAATGCGACACTGCCACGGGAGACTTTAGTTCAAAGAGCAGAAGTGAATTACGGGAAAGTCTAAGCCTTCTCCAAATCACATTCTTGTGATTGCTACTATAATCGACCAAATTATTGCTTTTCATGTATAAGGAGGTTTTGAGACGACCAGTAGAGCATTTTTATAAGAGTTATTTAACCAAATTCGTGTATACCTTTCATATGTATGCTCTATATGTTGTCTCGAAAGCTATTTATAAACATTAATGAGATTACCAGTAATTCTTGAACGAGAACTTAGTCTAGGTCCAGATGATTTAAGAACTGGTAGCTGAGTTTTTCCTCAATCAGTTGGATAGGCCTTAGAATACCATTACATTTTTCATAGCAATTCTTCCCAAAAAATATTTTAATTCCAGCTTTCAATTGGATACGATTGCCCAAATCCAGAAGTACCAACAATTTGCTGTAACAACAAAGTAGTTGTAGTTGTATGGACATGTGAAGGTCGTCAGGGCTCTTACGATTTATGTAGAAGAGCGTCTTGATTTCGATGAATATTCAGAGATAACTGATTTGTGGAGAATGTCATTTTCTACAAAAGTGCCTAATTAAGAGACTACTCGGTCGTTCTCATCGGTTTTAATACAAAGTTCAAGTTGACCCAGTCAATAATGCATCGTTTCTCGTTTCGGAAGAAAACGGGCTGAGCTTTCACACGTCAGGCCTCTTAACGGACATCGCTAGTGCCGGAATTCATTACCATATTAACTTCAGATTAACACCAAGTCGTGAGACTATCCGGTGCTTTGTATATGCTTTATATACTCATAAATGAGTATGTTTTCGAGACGACCAGTAAATCCGATATATGAATTGTATTCACCCTATTTCAGTTAAGGTGATAACGGCTGGTAGTTGATTTTTCTCACAATGATGTGGGTAGAGTTGACGTTTTCATTGAATTTCGCATAGGCTTGCTTTCCAAAAAGTTGTTCTCATCCCGGCTGGAGTGGACTGCAGTTTCGACCTCGCCTCGACCTCGACGCCCCCAGCGGGATTCGAACCATGACATTGCATCGTGTAAACTCGGCACATCAACCGCTATGTCACATTGCCACAAGTGCCTTTGGGTCACAAGACAGATGTGAATTTCAAGGAAGGTCAGGCATTTTCCATATCACTTTCTGTGTTGGGATTGTCGATAAATCAAACTTACATTTGCTATAGCAATCTACTACATTACTTTTTTCGTTAATGAGTAGGTTGTGGAGACTATCAGCAAATAAGATATATGAGTTGTGTTTACTATATTTCGTTTAAGGTGATTAAGGACTGGTAGTTGATGTTTCCCACAATGATTTGAGTAGAGCTGATGTGTATTTACTCATAACTGAAGGTGACAATGCATAGATGAAGGAGATATAGGTAAATAGATAGATAGATATATAGACTTTTGACTTGATTCTAACCTTAAACCTATACAAGAATGAGTTCTAGCCTTGAGGATGCCTGCTTAGTTGCATGACGGACAAAAGCTCCGTAATGGTCGCAGCCTCCTTTCGATTTTTTGAACAAGGTTGAGCTCGTGTTGGCAACTTGGTCTTGTTGTCAGGGCGGCTTGGCAGAAGGCACCTTGTCCGAAGTCCTCTGACATAGTAGCCATCATAATTCCAAGAATCAGACCGTCGACTTGGTACAGCCTCAGACGTTTCGCCGGCATCGTAGCAAGTCCACGATCTGATGCTGGGAATTATGATGGCTACTATGACAGAGGACTTCGGACAAGGTGAGTTCTACTAAGCCGCCCTGACAACAAGACCAAGTTGCCACAACGAGCTCAATCCACTTTTATAAAAGCTCAGCTAGTTTTGGCTCGGTGGACTTTGCCAACTTGAGTGACATGCTTCAGGCAACGCTTCGAGCACAACGGGAATCATTCGTATTGTTCTGGTGAGATCAACGAAGTGAAAGTCTCTACAACAATCTCATGATGTAGCTATAATTAATGCTGGCGCGGCAAGAAATTAATAAAGAATGATATTCATCTGATGTCGGGTTTTTCGAATAACTTTTCTCCTATTGCATCTGGCAGACTGAGACGTCCGAAACGGCCCGTCCTGTACTAGCGCTGAAAGCAGAATGAAAACTGATACCCAAATCGGTATGCTAATCGGGCTTGGTTGGCAGAGTTCGCCGTGGGGAGGCAGGTTGAGGGCTTAGTTGGCCTTGCTTTCTGGACGGCATAAAGCTCACCTTCATGCATCAAACAGGCGTTTAAAGGCCACGCGGCCAAGTCCAGCATGTTCAGGCAGACACACAAACGTGCCCAATTAAGCATGTCTGAAGTATGCTACCACTACATGCAAGTAGCATGTCCTGTCGGGCGCGATGAAGCGACCAATTAAACTTGGGATTTAGCGACACGATGCCGAATATTCCAATACTAATGGAAAATAGGCAGAGGATTAAAGGCTACATAGGCTCAATAGCAGATTGACAGGGGCCTATTGGGGAACTGGCAAATGGGAGGCTAGTGTGTGTTTGTGTGTACGCGATTGGGCAAAACGGATGTGCTAACAATCCTCATTAATCGATTGTAATGCCAACGATGGTTGTGGTAGATCTGGTACCAATCGTAGTCGGCATGTCACCGGCTCTTGATGCCGGTGACGAAGCTAGCGGCAAAAGTAAAAGTATTTACTAAGAAATGTCGGTTCGAGCAATTTTATGGTCTACATTTGTTAAACTCACTTCCATGTTGAGAGGAAGTGAGCAAGGAATAACTAATAAAATTGATCTTAACATGAATCAACAACAAATTCCTCTTAGCTGGCTTTATTGGAGCCTTTGAGTTGGCGCTATCCATCACATAATAATCGCAGGCAGTAGCATTCATAATGGCTGCTGCTACCTTTTGTTTGTAAGCGAGTGGGGTTTCGAGACCACCATTAAATCAGTGTAATGAGATGTATTCACCATATTTCGTCTAAGGTGATGAAGGACTGGTAGTAGAATTTTC